TATATATATAAACGTCATATCTTTCCCTACTAACACACAATACAGCCCCGTCGTACCTGTTCCGACACATTGGAGCTCTTCTCGTCATTGCGCCAGGCCGCCAACTCGGTTTCGTACAGCAGCAGCATATCACACAGCAGCGTAGCTTCAACATGCGTGAGGCGTTCGTGCCAAACAATAGCGCAGTGACTCTCATACATCTCCTTCAGGGAATCCTGACGCATAGCATCGCCCACCCCCACACTACCCCCCATGCCTATACCCATTCCGATATTCGGGTTTGGGATTTGGTTTGGGATTGATTTTGGTTTTGGGTCGGTATTGGCTTTCGCATTCGCGTCGGTGTCCCCATTCGCGTTGGAGTTCCTATCTGAAAGCGTAGGGTTGCAAGAACTTATTTATCAGGAACTGGGGATTCCTTAGATATGCAGAGATGACACAAACTAGGTCTGCATCATGTTTAAAATTAGGAATAAATTCTATACACACGATACGCAGGCTATCACAACTTCTTCAGACATTCAAGCTACGCTCCAAACTATCTCGTGCTACCTACAAGAGGTTGATTGTTTAAAATCGTGATACCTGATTTTTGCGCCTGCGCCTGTGACTCACCGGCCCAAGATGGGGTTGAACTCCGACTCCCCTCTATATTTAGATTCGGCGCCAAATGTGGCACCCCTGCTGTCCCGCTTTGATCTCCTGCAATTCCGGGAGTTGCAGGCCGACTGAACACTCCCGTGCCATCTCCAAGTTCCATTGCACTATGAGGGATTTAATAAAAAAATGTAGCTTTATATACGAATTTGTAAGTGGATTTTACAAATTCTTGTTGTCTGAATGATGGTTTTATGGTTTGTATTGGGTTTAAGTACGCCGGTACTGTGAAGTATGGGAGACCCTGTATGATATTTGCATGCAAGGCAGAGATCCACATGCGAAAGATAGGACTGACCGAGGGATGGTATGGGAAGGAGCATCCGAGACTAATTTTGTGGTTTTAGCTTTTAGGGTTTTGGTTTTTAGGGTTTTATGCTAAAATCGAACTTTTTTATGTACAACAACGCGAGGCAAACCTAGGGCTTTCACTACCCCAACTGACCTGATCCGACTATGTCGCGTGCCAAGTTGCTGATATCAGATGTCATATGTCAATGGTCGAGTGTCAAGTGTCAAAGTGTCAAATGTTAAATATTAAAATATCGCTCATCAAATGCATAGCCTTCTAAATTAAACCAGCAGGCTATGGCAAATGGTTTGTGTTAGGTGCCCATTTTCAATGTGGTGTAAACATGGTATCAAGAGACCTCCGCCAGACATTCCAGTGATGTCCTTGACGATACGATACTCTTACCTGTCAGACAGCCCGGTTATGTCCTCTGACAGCTCACGTTGTAATACAGTACTATCTGCCGCCTTGTCCTTGGCTCTGCTATTGGCACCGACTTCCTCCGCATTCAATCGCAAATTGGCCTCTGTCAAACCTTTTCCTAGGTTATCCACCCACCCAGAGTCACTTTTCGTGCTGCGAGTTGTAATGTATAGCATGCGCCTTTTAGAGTCTACAAATGTAA